GCAAAGAACCTGCTGGTAGTGGAAGCCAAGATCGGCATCAAGCGCATCTCCTTTGCCTCCGACAATGGCCTCACCTGTCTCGCCGTTGGCGACGTCAAGACCCTCGTCCAGAACCGCGATGCAAGCCCCCCCCACGACCTCACCGCCCTCCTCCCTCACTGACACCTTCGCCAGCTCACCCACAGCATCGAAATCTCCTCCGACGGCAAGACCCTCTACGCCTCCTCCGCCGACAAAGTCTTCAGCTGGAGCTACGACGCCGCCGCCGGCACCCTCACCAACCAGCGCACCCTCATCGTCAACATGAACAGCTTTGACCACGTCACGCGCACCCTCCTCCTCTCGCGCAAGCAACCCGAGATGCTGCTCATCTCCCGCGGCAGCGGCGAGAACCTCGACCGCCGCGCGGCCGACGAGACCACCGGCATCTCCCAGCTGCGCGCCTTCAACTTGACCGAAATCACCGACGGGCCCATCAACTTCAACACGGCCGGCCGCCTCGTCGGCTGGGGCCTGCGCAACTCGGTCGGCATCGCCGAGCACCCCGTCACGGGCGCCATCTACACCGTCGAGAACAGCGCCGACAATATCCAGCGCCTCGGCGTCGACATCCGTACGTCCCCTCCCCTCCCCCCACCCCCTCCTCCACCGCTAACCCCCCCGGTACTCAGACCAAGACAACCCCGCCGAGGAACTCAACCTCCATCCCGCCCTGTCCTCTCCACCCCCCCTACCCCCCCAAACTACGGCTACCCAACCTGCCTCTCCCTCTGGTCCCCCGTCCCCGCCTCCCCCAGCAACACCACCCTCCTCCCCCGGGCACGCCCTTCGCCCTGTCCCCCGCCGACGACGCCCTCTGCGCCACCACCACCCCGCCCCGCCTCGTCTTCCACGCGCACACGGCCCCCCTGGACATCAAGTTCGACGCGGCCGGCGCGGCGGCGTACGTGGCGTTCCACGGGTCGTGGAACCGCGACGCGCCGGTGGGGTACAGCCTAGGGGTGGTGCGGTTCGACGTGGGGCGGGGGGAGCCGACGGAGGGGCGGGAGAGCCGGGAGGCGGTGGTGGAGGTGCTGGGGAACGGGGACGTGGGGGGGTGTCCGGATAGGTGCTTTAGGCCGGTGGGGGTTGTGGTGGAGGAAGGGGACGGGGGGAGGGTGTTTATGACGAGTGATGCGACGGGGGAGGTGTATGTTGTGAGGAGGAAGGGGGCGGAGGGTGTGGCGGAGGAGGGGGGGAGGGGGAGTAGTGCTGCTGCGAGGAGGGGGGTTGGAGAGGTGGGGTGGATGGGGGTTGTGGTGGGTTTGGCTGGGGGGGTGGTTTTGGGGGGTAGGTGGTGGTGATGGGATTGACTTGGGGTTTTTGTTTGGATACGCGATATCGGGCACATGGCGTTGGGAGCGTGAGCTTTATCTGATGGTATGTTCAGTTATCGAAAAAGAATAAAATAATTCTGCAAATTGGACGCAAGCTCGAAGCCTTTAGGGAGAACACCTACCTCTTCACTCATTCGACCGGTGCGGGCATTGTGTATAAACGTTAAAGCACATGAAAAAGAGGCCAGCAAATGCAAGACAAGGTCATTATTCTCTACTCCTAGCCGGTGGCAGAAACTGAACCGCCAATGCCCGCCCTTCTCGACGGCCCCCCCTTCTCGCTTCCCCTCTACTCCTCAATCGTCTTGACACACTCCCACTCGCCCCGCAGGTTCTCCTTCCACAGTGTCACCCTGTTGTCGGCGGTGCTCGCCGCCAGCACATTACCGCTCAACGACCAGCTCACCCGCCACACGGGCGTCTCAAACTGCAGCACCTTGGCCGTCCACTGCGCCGGGTTGGCGGCGTCGCTCGTCCAGATGCGCACCGTGCGGTCCTGCGACGCGCTGGCAATGTAGCTCTTCTGCAGCACCGTCGGGCTCCATGCCACGTCGCGCACCCAGTCCGAGTGGCCGGCGAGCGGCTCGCGCTCCTGCTTGAAGGCGTTGGCGGCGGGGTCAAAGGCCCAGATCTTGAGCAGGTTGTCGGAGCCGCCCGTGACGAAGCGGCGGTTGGCGCCCGTGGCGGCGGGGGCGCCGCCGCCGCCGGGCGCGCTGCTGACGATGCTGCCGGGCGTGGTGGCTGGCGCCCACGACACCGAGTTGACGCCGAGCCCGTGGGCGTGGAAGAGCGAGTCGTCCCAGCCGTTGTCCTTGAACTCGAGTACGCTGACGTTGCCGTCCGACGAGGCGCACGCCAGCAGGCACCCGGCCTCGTGCGGCGACCACGACACCACGTTGACCGACGCCTTGTGGTGTGCAAACTCAAAGATGTTTTGCCACACGCCGCCCTGCTCGCGCCAGATGAGCACCTTGCCGTCGTAGCCCGCGCTCGCGAGTATGTTGCCGTACTTGGGATGCGCCCACGACACGCACCAGACAGCGCCCTCGTGCCTGTTTTGGGGAGTGTCAGAGGCGCCACGAGACGCTGGGGAGGAGGGGGGGCCTACCCCTTGAGTGTTTCTGTGAGCCGCTGTGTCTCGCCCTCGACCTCAAAGATCTTGATGGTGCGGTCCGAGGAGCAGGTTGCTAACCTCCGGCCGTAGTAGTCGAGGACCGCATCGTGCTGGGTTCATGTTAGGATCTCGGTCGCGGGCGGTGCGGTCGGGCTCGGGAGCAGCGTGGGGGTCGGCGATGCTGGAAGGCCAACGTACAATCATGTCATCGTGGCCAGAGTTGGCGATAACCTGCGCGCCTGCGGCCTGCGAAGCTCGAGTTAGCGGTGCATCGTCATGGAACCTCTGGAAGCTGGGGATGAGGCGGGTGATTTGGAGGGCGGGGGAGGGAGATCGTACCATAATTGCTGGGTTCTGAAGACTCGTGACAACAGAGGTGAGGAAAAGGGACGATGTGGTTTATTTGCTTTCCGTTGTTCGCGAGCGGGCGGGTGCAATGATGGCGTGCTGAACGAAATTCTGGCCAGCACTTGGTTGCCGACACGGCGAAACTGGGGCAGACCCCTGTGGTCAACCTGGCAAGAAATCAAGGTGAGCAAGGTGAGTCCAAGCTCCCATCGCTCACCACGGTGAAGGTTGGGACCCGCTGTGAGACGGCCCACTTCCCCCATGCGTCGCCCGTCCCCCACTCTTTGCACTGTGCAGGGGGGCCGGGGGCGCTCATCACATGGAAGCTTGAAATGGCGACTCGCGACTCCAACTTTGCCATCTTCCAACTGCCGAATCGCCGAATCGCCGACATCACCACTCAACGTCGAGTCGCCAATCGTGATGGCTCAGGCGGGATCTCTAAAAAAAAGACCGAAATAGTTGATATAGGGCCATGGCACAGCGATTTCTCTTCCTTGCCGGTTACTTTTTCTCAACCCCATCATCGCTAGACATCTCTGACTCTTGACTACGACAACGACCTCGGCTTCTCGATTACGCATCCAGTCTTTGATATATTGTTTCAGCGCACTCGATTCGGACCTTCAGAGGCCTCCCCCACCCGATCCCTCTAAAAGCATACATCGACAACATATTTCCAAGTCCTAGTGCCGTCACGATGGCCGATAGTCTCTGTGGGCCGTCCAACGGGGCGAAGAACCTCCTCAGCCATGCCGACCGCGACCGATCCCTCCAGCAGGATCGGTTAGTCGGCGGTGCCAACGGAAGCCCTGCGGTCAGTAACCCCAGCCATCCTGTGCTCGTGGGGAGGACTTAACTGACATCTACATGGACAGACCTTCCGATCGCAACTGAACCGCAGTGGCGCCGACGAAGCCTTTGCTGGCTTCCAGCAGAATGGACACATGGAACCCGTTCTCAACGGGATGCCCGCCGGGATACCGAATCACGCCTTCCACTTCCCCGGTATTGCTGCCCCCATGGCGCCCATCAACCACCCCATCGCACCACAATTTGCCACCCACCAACCTACCCCGGCTGCTCACGACTGGGTCAACCAATTCGCCGGCATGAATGTTGGAAATAAAAACGCGCCCGCGCCAGCCCTCGCGCAGCCGCACCAAGGAGCGCAAATACACGGAAGGCAAACCAACATGGGCTACGGCTTCGGCCAGGCCGGGTTTGCCGGCCCCTTTGGCGCGCAGCAATTCGGGATGACGCCGCAGATGCCGATGCATGCGCCAACCACCATGGCCTACGGTACTCAGAACCAGAGCTTCGCGACAATGCAACAAAACGAGTCTGCGCTTGACGTGGACGCCTTCAACAAGGCCTTTGGCGACTACGACGACACAGAGTTTGACGCCGAGATTGCCAAGTGGGCCGAGAAGGAGGCGCCAGCCGGTGAGCAGGTTACGGCTCTTCCGGTCCAGCCGGTCGAGGAGGTGGCAGAGCAACAACCGCAGGAGGAAGACGCGGCGCCACGACGTCGGGAAGATGAGGAGCTCGCGCGCGCAGCTATCTCCATTCTTGGGTCTGTCGAGAAGAACAACTCGGAAAAGTTCAAAAACTCGAATTTCTTTGAGTTGATGCGGCGCATTGGGAACAGGGAGGTGGTGGTTGAAGGCCCCAACCTTGTTGACTCGACGACGGGGGAAACAGTTGTGGCAAGATCGGACGACGGTGATGGCGCAGAGGAGCCAGCGGCAAGGACATTAGGCGCATAGGTAGTTGCGTATTTTGTAAACATGTAATGAGAAATGAAAAGGCCTCGCAGCCGTTATGAAGCATCTTGTCGCTGGGCTTGTGTACCTACCTTTTGTCACGACCTCTTGAAGAGGGACTCGTCTTCTATCCCATTTCACCCTGCCCCTCCCACATCTCTCTCCACTTGCCTGGCAATTGTATATTCTTCCACGACGGGGGAATTCCAGTTTCCTTCTTTACCTCCACATCAACCATGACGGGATAAATCAAGCGACTTCTGCCCAAAGGCCGCATCAAACCCGGAAAAGGGGACAAAACAAAAGAGCCGACCAACCCCCCTAGCAACCACAGCAACCACCAGATTCCCCCATCCCCCAAAAAAGACCCGACCGGTTCTCAAAAAGTGGAAAAACGGCGGAGTCTGGGGATTGAACCCAGGACCTCTCACAAGGAAAATACCCAAAGCGAGAATCATACCACTAGACCAACCCCGCACCACGTAAGCCCTGGAAAAACACGGGACAGTTGGATTCAGTGCCGCTAAGGCGACCTAAGGACGGTTCTGGTCGGTAAGGATTCTTGTCAGGCCACACGCATCGGTTGTGATGTGCTGGTTGGGTGTTTGGCTGTCTCCGGGATGGGGCCAGAGGTTGCTGCTGAGGCTGGTGGTCGGAATAAGGTGCGGGAGACGCCGGCGCCGCCACCTGCATTTTTGTGGCTGTTGCTGCCGAGGGTTCTGACCATTGAGGATTCCTGGGCCCGTTCGTTCTTTGGGCTTTCTATGGGCAGAAGTTTGCAGCAGCAGCCCGTTGGTGTGTCATCCGGGAACAGCTGCGGCAGTTTGTCCTCTAGGCCGGGGAATGCATCTGCCGGACCCCGGTGCCAAGCCCGGGACTCGGGGGGCGATATTTGAGTTTGTGTCCCTCGTGACCGGAGGTGACGGCAGGAGTCAAGGAACTTGGCGAGCTTGGGAACCCGATGGCCGGGCCTTGCGGTGGGAGAGGCTGGTCACGCAATTCCGATTCCAAAGCAGCATTTCAAAGCAGAGGGGGCAGAAGGAAGGCGGGGTTAGTAGGAGCCTGGGAGGAGCTTATATGGAACCGGTACTTGACGCATCTCACCATCATCGGCACTTTGCCCTGACTTACATGTACTTACCCCTGGAACCATTGACGACATTGACAAGATTCAAAACATTTACAATCCGCATCACTCACCTGAAATTTCAAGACATCGCCCAAGTCACTCCCTCAGCCTACCACAATGACGAACCCCCCACACCCCTCCCCGCTGGCGGGGTACGAAGCCGCCGCCGCCCAGCTAACAGACGACCGCAACGACGACGGCAAGAGCCTGCGCAACACGCAAACCGGCGTCCCCAGCACCGCCTACTCCCAGTTCCCCTCGCCCCTCGACAACGGCATCCGCGGCGGCTTGTCAGTCCCCCCATTTCCCCCACCCCCCCAACTTCCATGAAACTAACCCCCTCACCCCAGCGACGTGCACATCTACCACGTGCAAACTGCCCCCGACCAAGTGCAGTACTCGCAGGACCTCTGGGCCCGCATCCGCCTCGAGTTCCCCGAGCTGCGCATCTACCGCCGGTGGGACCAGCCGGTCGGGCCGCACCCCGTCGGCATGTTCGAGGTCAACCTGAGCACGCCGGCGGAGTTTGGCGCGTTCGTGCCGTGGCTCGTCGTGTGGCGCGGCCCGCTGTCGGTGCTGGTGCACCCGAACTCGACGGAGACGGATGTGGGGGTGGGGGAGAGGGAGGAGCGGAATCATGTGGAGAGGGCGTTTTGGTTGGGGGAGCGGTGGCCGTTGGTGACGGGGATTTTTAGGAGGATGTAGGGGTTGGGTTCTATCTTTTGTGATTGGGAGTCACGGTTGGGGGATGTTGAGCTGGGTTTATGTTGGAGGGGCACTCGGGGTGAAGGAGGGTCGTCGAGGTGGCGGTTGAGGTCGGCAAACCGGCATGAACTTTGAAGAAGACGGATGCCCCTTTTGGTTGTATTTATTTGCTATTTCTGGCCGACGGGTTCATCCGTGGACGAAAATTCGCAGCACGGCGGCTTGCTTGGATGTGGCGTCCAACAGAAATCATCATCACGGCAGGCCAAGGGGGGTTGTGTCACGTCTGGTATTTGGGTTTCTTTGGAGAATTGCTAGCATCCTCATGACATTGGAATAATGTCTTATCGCAGAGGGATAATCTAGCAGCATGTTGTTGTCTGAACTCCAAGTGACAAGCTTGGAAACGGCATCACTTTCATCCTCGTCTTACTCACCGCAGCGTCTTGGCGATATTTGAACCGTTCCTGTGCCTTGCAGGTCCTGTCTCTCCCCCGCAACCCCAAGTCGGCACCCGAAATTGTTTATTTCAATGTCGTCTCTGTGCAACTATTGTGTAGGCGGCTGTGTTCAAGGTGAGAGAATAAGTCGAAAACTTCAGAAAAACACTCTCACTGAACAGCATCAAGAGCACCATGGCATTCTCAACATCAAGATTCATGACATCAAAAACCAAAAGCCTCTCAACAGTGACCGCGGGGAACAAATACCGACGGAAGAAGCCTCGCAAGGACCATCTCCCTCGTCGCGTTGCATTCCCATCTCAGCCCTGGCGCCCCCCAGCAGCCCGCATAGCCTCGTCCCGCCCTCATTGGCTCGACCCTGATTCTGCGACAGCACCCCTGAGCTTCACGGCCTTCAGCTGAAGAGGCGCCCCTATTTTTCGCGGCGGCGGCACTCGGTTCGCGATCGATACAACGGCGGGCGGGCAGGTGAGGGCCTGAGGCTGAGAGGAGAAGACGGGCTGGTGGAAATGGAACATGGCGTTTTTCTCGCGCGGTGGGCGGTCGTCTCCCCCTCGAGTTTTCTCGCGATTTTCTTTCGTCACTTTTGGTGGTTGGCTACCTGCTTCTAGATACCATCACATCTGGAACCGGTCCCGTCATCGCCGCTGTCGGTCGTTCTTGAGTGACTGCTGTGATCACATAAACCGACATTCGTTTGTTGCGTTTGCCCTCGCGTCCCACGCCCAAGATGCGGCGAGGACTCCTCTCGCTGGCCCTGGGGTTGGGCGTCGCGACCGCCGCCGAGCTCGTCTACATCACCGACCTGGCTATCTACAGCGCACTTGCACCCTGCGCCCAGTCGGCCCTCTCCTACAACGTCCAGTACCTGACCAACAGCATCTGCCCCGAGCCCATCTCGGACCTCCAGGCCTGCGTCTGCACCAAGAACAACAATCTCGCGTCCATCTCCAAGGGCGTCTCGTCGTCCGTCTCGTACTCGTGCGGCGGCGGCGCCGCGGCCGACCAGGCTTCGGCGTCGACGGTGTTGAGCGGGTATTGCAACCAGGGCGCCCTTCCCACGTTCCCGCCGCCCGAGTTTCCCGTTAGCTACTACATCACCGAGATCCCCGAGATCGATGCGTTAGCGCCGTGCGCAAAGTCGGCTATCAACTATGGCCTTCGGTGAGTTTTTTTCTTTGCCGCTTCGGTTCTGTGGTTGCTGATCTAACCTCGTCGTTTCTAGATCTCTTGTAAGCCGGCCCCGAAACCCAGAAGCGGATGGGGTTGAGTTGTACTGACTGAGCCAGACATATTCCGACTGCCCCAGCGACGCCACGGCCCTCGCGAGCTGCGCATGCCTAAAGAACCAGAACTCGGCGCTTGTCAACAAGATCATCTCTTCGTCGGCCAAGTCCTCGTGCTCGAACATCGCCCCCGATGTCACGTCGGCCGTCAACTTCTTTGCTGCATACTGTGCCATGGCCAACGGCACGACAAACTTCCCCAAGCCGACGAACCCCCCCGGTGACATGACGTACTACGTCACAGATCTCCCGAGCTTCGATAGTCTGGCAAAGTGCGCTGCGTCGGCACTGTCGTATGCCGTGCAATCTGTAAGACCTCCTGGTTTGAGGGAGGACATTGTGGACAGGACTGATGACGACGGCAGAATACCTACGACCTCTGCCCCCCGGGCCCGCAGGCCCTGGCCTCGTGCGCTTGCATCAAGGAGGGCATGCCCCGGCTGATTTCCAACATCATCACGAGCTCAGTGAAGTACAGCTGCTCGTCGACCGCGACAGATGACGTATCATCCGCCATGGCCGTCTACAACTTCTACTGCAGCGCCGCGCGAGCCGAGACGACCGCCACCGGCGTCACAGTATCCGTCGAGCAGACGTATCCCGCCGGATTGGAGCCGGCAACCGGTTCCCGCTCAGGCACCGGTGCCTCCCAGTCCACCGGTGCCGGTGGGAAGAGCGGCAGCACCGATGGCGGCCCTACCGACTCCTCCTCCGGGCCTAACACAGCCATCATCGGCGGGGCCGTGGCCGGCGTCGTCGTCATCCTGGGCATCATCGGCGCCCTCGTCTTCTTTTTGATGAAGAGCGTGCGAAAGAGAAAGGAGCTGGAGAAGCAGCAGTCCGACCAGATCCCCATGACCCGCCCCGCCACCGCCGGGGGCGACCACGACCCGCACCCGCACGAGTACTACGGCAAGACCGAGCTGTCCGGCGACGCCGCCGTCACCGCCGCCGGTGCACCGCTACCCCCGCCGAGTCCCGCCCTGAGCATGATGAAGCCCGGCCAGCTCCCCCCGCGCGCCGGAACCGTATCCCCGGCCTCGGTGCACGCGAGCGCCTTCACCCCACCTCCGAACCACGCCGAGCTCCACGGCCAAGCCCCGCCGATGCCGCCCATGCCCAACAGCGCCGAGCTCCACGCCCAGGCCCCGCCATACCCGACCGGCGCCGAGCTGCCGGGCCAAGGGCCGGCGTATTCCCCGTCGCCCAACACCGCGGAGCTGTACGGCCAGGCGGCGGCGTTCCAGCGCCCCGAACTTCAGGGCAGGCAGCAGCAGCCAAACACACCAGAACTCCAAGGCCAGGGCGGCGGCGGCATGTACCGACCCGAGCTGCCGGGCCAAGGGCCTATGTACCAGCCCCCGCCCAACAACACCCAGGAACTGGCCGGCCAGGGGTCACAGCAGATGTCGCCGTACCCGGGCCCGCAGAGGCAGGAGCTGGCGGGACAGTATAGCTACCCCCCACAGCAGCAGCAGTCGCCGCCTCCGGGTTACCCGCAGTCGCCACCGCCGGGATACCCGCAGCAGTTGTCGCCGCAGGGGTATCAGCAGCCGTCGCCGCAGGGGTATCCGTCGCCGCAGCAGCAGGGGTATGCCGCTGGGTGGGGACAGCAGACGCCGGGGCCGGTGTCGCCAGCGAGTACGTATGTAATGTCGCCGGCGCAGCAGCAGCAGCAGGCGGGGATGGGGTGGCAGTCGGGGCCGACGGTGCATGAGATGGATGGAGGGGCGTATAGGGGTGGTGAGAATGGGGGAGGGGCTGGGCAGGCCAGGTGATAGTAGGTACCTAGGTATAGATTTGGGGGAGGGTGATGATTTGGAGAGGGATGATTTGGAGAGGGATGATTTGGAGAGGGATGTTTTCGGGTGTTGGTGATGCCGATTGACATAT